AGCAGGAACAGCAATCAACCAGTAATGCCAGGCCAATGAAGGGGGAGCCTGGGCTTAACAATCAATTACCCTCATGCCACTGGTACTGACTGAGTCACAAGCCTCTGAGATTCACGTTGTACTTCCACAAAAAGTGGGTATCTTCTCATCCCATCAATGAAAACAGAAAGTCTTCCCTAAAAGGTTTAAACACAGCCTCCAAGGAATGGCGAAGAGCAGCCACAAGAGTGGCACAGTTCACCCACTCCTCTGTTACCTTCACGGCTGACTTCATGCTCACTGACTCTCAACTGGCTTAGGGTGGTGGTCCTGTTTTCCCAAGGTTTTATGATTGAGCCTCTGCCACCACAAGTAGCTATGAACACAATGATGAAGGGAATGTGAATTTAAGCATTCCAAGGTGCTTAGAGACTGCACATCATAGGACCCAGATGAGGTCTCCTGATAACCCAGAGTTCCTAAAGTGGCCCTGATATTGTACCCTACCATAGAGTGAGCAGTGTACATTCTGAATAAGGTCACGTGAGCAAAATGATTATCATAATCATTCTCAAGGAGGTACAGCTATAAGTCAAGTCTGACCTGCTTAAGTACGAGTTTGGTAAGAAAGTGGAAAGAGATTATGCTAAAGCAGGATTTAGGTAGAAAGGGAATGTTGGGGGCAGATAAAACTGTTACCCTGCCTTTTTTCATAAAAGGCTGAAACCATTCTATTTTGTTGTGGTGAAATGTGCCTGTTTCTAAATAATTCTGTTTTCTTAGTTCTCTGATAAAAACCATATACTAATTGTAGTTTTCTTTTACTTCAAGTATTGTCCAAAAAATAATGATTCTCAAAACTGTACCAACAGAGGAATGTATCTTGTCATAAACCCTGAATTAATATTCAAGCAAGTCTGGAAAAGATGGAACAGAAATAAAGCATGATTTATGGTAGTTTTCAAGGAAGCCCTAGAGACCCTTTAGGCATCCTAAAGTCCATGGAGCCTTGAAAATACAGCAGGTGAAGACAACAGAGCACTGGGGCTTGCACTTGAATAAATGAGTATATGATTTGCACACTTCCACTGATTCACATCACCTCCAGTTTATCCTGCAACCTGTGGTTCAGTCTGACCATGAAATAGGAAAAACAAAACAAACAAACAAACAAAAACTTGTTCCTTCCCAAGACCATGAGGGAGGATGGTAAGAAGCATTCTATACTTAGAAGCTCTTGGTCTAGAATTGATGCCTACATTCATCCCCACCCTCCCAGCCTCATCCACCACAGATGTCCTTTAATCCAGAAACATGAGATTTATCAGGAGATGAAATCTGGGGCAAAGTCTACACCCATTAATGCTTCTGCAAGAGTGAAATGTGAATAACATTTATAGTGACTTTCTTTAAAGAAATTCACAGATGGGATCAAAATCATTTATTTTTGCTTTAGGAACAACTTGTTCCCCTGACAAAGCAAGGCCCCTCTGAGGATTGTCTGACTCCCTAATTGGTAATCATTTAGAATCCCCATACTCTCTTAACAGAGGAGATCTCTGAAAACTAAGAAATGGACGAGAGAAACAGCAGAAGGGAGGGGAGCTTGGGATGGGCTCCTCAGTCTGCAGATCACTTCACAGCAGGACACAATTCTCCCTGTCACCACTATAGAGTAGGCTATAGTCTCAACTTCATAAAACACTCTTTGTGTGGCATGCCAATAATTCCTCTGGGAAGTGACTAGTTGGCAAGATTTTTATTTCAAGTTTTTTTTCATTAAGTTACCACCCTTTGTTTTTCAATTATTAAAGTACGTTATCATTACAACAATATTTAGAAAATGCTGGAAAATCTAAAAGTAAAAATATTATAACTAATCCTTCCTCCACTGTTAATACTTTGATGTACCTCTTTATAGATATTACACACACACACACACACACACACACACACACACATAATCCTTATACATAAAAAGATACGTTACACAAATAAGATCATACTCTTTATACCATTTTAAAGTTGCCATCTCTTTTTTGGTTAGCATATTACTGCTATATTCCAGTCAAGTCTTAGAAAGGACTAGAAGTCATTCCACCTTTTCTAAGGGCCTAAATCACCCCAATAATTTTTTTTTAATCCTCACCAGAGGATATGTTTTTCATTGATTCTGGAGAGAGTGGAATGGAGAGGGAGAGGGAGAGGGAGGGAGAGAGAGAGAGAAAGAGAGAAACATCAATGTGAAAAAGATACATACATCTACGAGTTGCTTCCTGGACATGCCCTGACTGGGGACTGAACCCAAAACCTGGGTATGTGCCCTGACCAGGAATTGAACCCACAACCCTAACCAACTAAGCCACACCAGCCAGGGCACCACAATACTTTTTGATAGATGCAATGATTACGGTAGGAAGTTGCTTAGGGCAGAGAAGGCAGATTAACAGAAACTTCCAATTTAAACTTTTGAAGGTATTGCTGAATGACATTAATAGTTGTATGTGTATGTGTGTTAAAGCATGACTTACTCAGTATAAACTTAAAATATACAATTTTATGTTTTGCCATTTCTTCATTTTTTAGATACACCCGTGTTCTCAAAAAATCAACATGACCCAGGACCAGGCCATTAGGGTCCCTTCTTTTCTGTACACCTAGGCTAGTGCAAAAGGCTACTAATCACAAAGGGACTTAAAAGGTGGCTCTAGCCCTAATTGTCCTTCCCCTTCTCCCATCTTGGTTTTGAGCCGCTTTAAGCATCCTCCAGCAGATTCTGACCTCGAGCACTTTTCCTATGTGTACATCCAGAACTAGCCATTTTCCAAGGAAGACTTGCCATATGTACTTATGGCGAGGGGCTAGGAACCCCCCCTTTTTTTTTGTCCTGCACAGGTTGACAGTCTTATGGCTCCTCCTCCCCTCACACTCTGATCCTCCACACCTCCTCTCCCACTCTCAGAAAGGTTTTCATTTTAGAGTTCATACAATGGCCCCCATGTTGCCTTGAGTTGCCATTTATCTTTTTATATACTAGTATACTTCCTAGTTTGTATCCTTGGAGGTTGTAGTGTATTTTCTACATCTACATTTGTATACTTCTATATTACTCTGTAGCCAACAAAGCACTATGCTCATAGTAGACATTCAGAAAATGTTGGTAACATCATACTACTAAATGGATACCTGAGGATATCATACCTGATTTTCTAGGAGAAAATGAAGTAACTTTTATTTTACATCAAAGCGGCTATTGGTTAACCAGATGGGTGCAAATCAATGAAAGGCCATCCTGTAATTGTTGGTAACACTTGAATTCATTTCTCTAGGCTTACATGCTTTTCTCTCTCAGATATTTTAAATGTTTTATTTTTAATTTTAATCCTCACCTGAGGATATGTTTTATTGACTTTAGAGAGGAAGGGGGAGACAGAGAGACAGAGACACACCAATCAGTTGCCTCCTGCACGCACTGACTAGGGATCGAACTTGCAAACTTTTGGTGTACGAAATGATGCTTCAGCCAACTGAACCACCCAGCTTGGGCTTCTCTCATATTTCCTTATCTCATCTTTCTCTTCTTGCTCTGTATTCTAACACCTTCCCTTTCCTTCTTTTTCTTTCCCTTATTCAGTGACCGGACTTGCCAGTCACCCAATACTAAAAATTTCCACTCCCAGAGAATTTAGATCCATGTCTATACTTAAGTTTCAGCCCCCAACGCCTTTTTTCTTCTACCTAACCCTGCTCACGTGCTACAGTGTAACATCTAATGCACTTTGAGCTGTTATTTACCAACTTTCACCCAACTCTTGTGAATTTGCGCCACCCAGTGGCTGAAGTTGCCAACTTCATCCTCTGAAAAAAGCAGTGGGCAAAAATAACAAATGGGAAAGAAGTTATATGTGCCCTAAATGATGGCTATAAGTGCCCCAATTCACAACAGCCGAATTTGGTCCTATTTTAAGTTATTTTCTAAAACTTAAAATAGGATGGGAAAGATATGTTCAGAGGTATAGTGTCATGGTCTCCCCCAAATAAGATGATATCCAGAAGACTCTTTTAGCATTTCTTCAGATCACTACTGCTCCCTACTGCTCCAAAAATGAATAAATAGTGCAGACTACAGGGTAAAGTCCTAATTGCCCTCTAGAAGAATCAAACATTGAACAGAAGAGACACTGACTTTGAAGACATAAGCTATACGACACAATAATACCATACAGCAATTTAACTTATTTATTCTACAATAAATTTCCTTAGACACGTTTATATCTAGGACATATGCCAAGGAGTAGAATTCATGGTTCAACTTTGCTAAATGCATATTGTTTTCTAATGCCCCAGCGGTACACAGAGTCTCTATTAATAATTTCACACTCTAACTTGGAAATCTTAGACTAAAATTTTTGCCAATCTTTTGGCTATAAAGTATGTAGTATATTGTTGTTGTTCTTATGTGCATTTTCATGCTTACTAGCGAAGTTGAGCATCTTTCCATATATGTATTTGCTTCAGGTTTTCTCTTGCTTGCTTATAACCTCTCCCTTTTTTTCTACTGGGCGATTATTTCTTGTTGTTTTTTAATTGAGCTGTACAGTCTTGTATTCCTGACTATACAGTAGTAGGGCCTATGAATCTGTGGGTTCTACATCCACAGATTCAACCAACTGTGGATAGAAAATGTATTTTTTTTAATGTTACGTTGTTGCTGACATGTATCATGTTGTTAGTTCTGCTTTGTGGGATTTTTAGACATACCTGTCAATAGCTTTTTAAATGCAGCCATAGAAGGCAATATGAAAATAGATTCTTGGAGGCAATGGGACTCGCAGAGCTTCAGAGCCTGACAGTTGCTTATTTATGGGTATATCTGCATATCAAGGAATATTACATTAGAAACACACTGTAGAC